AACGTCTGTTTCGTTGGAACACGAACACGAACCTCAATGAAAAGAAGATGAAATTGTGACGTTATCTACTACACTAGATTTAGATAGCCAGTAAATCTAAAATATTTAAAGTATGATGGAATTTGGAATATACACAATAATTGGACAGCAACATCAAAGCTAAGTAAAAATGCAAATGAATTCTTATTTGAAGTTCCAAAATACTGGTTACTTGATAAAAATGTGAAAAAAACCTTAAAATTGAGGTCGAAAAGCTGGTTCAAGGTAGTAGATCCATCATAATGATTTCTTGTTTGAAATGTTCATCAAGACCGATATTTTCAACGAGTAAACATTTGAATATCTCTTCCAATTTTGCCTTAACACGACCTAAGTGAAGAATTTTAAACGAAAGTCTATACAGTGTTGAAAAGCCAAATGGAATAAATTTAAATACACTCAAAACTTATTGTAATATACTCAAAACTTATTTCATGTTGAGGTATTGTTAATAAGAAAGTAAGCAAAAACCATAGCAATGTTGAATACTACTGGAGTTTTTTCTCAACACCAAATCGTTATTTTTAACACCTCGACACGTGTTTCGATCAGCAAGCGATCATCTTCAAGAGTTTGATCTTCCTCTTTAAAGATGATCACTTCGTGATCGAAACACGTTTTGAGGTGTTGAAAATAACGATTTGGTGTTGGGAAAAACTCCAGTAATATTCATTACTACACCAAAGGTTCCAAACAGTGCATCATAAGTACATAGCAATGTTCTTTTTAGGTGGTATCCTTTAGAAAAATGTAAATAATTTCCGTGGCAATATTAATTTAAAACACCTTATCAACTTGTTTTGTGTGTTACAACATTAGTTGTCGGTATTTTAATTCAAGTGTGAAGTTCGTTAACTTCAAGTCTGGCAAATGGTGTTAGATAAACGGAAATGCATAAAATAACAGTTTTACAAATGAATGGTTACAGAGATAAAACCCGAACACAACAGGAAGTAGCTCGCCTATTTCATGAGAAAAATCCTAATTTACATTTTGAACATCTACTTCGTTAACATCCATAGTTCTTTTTCGTATTCTACATTTCATTACGTTTTGCATTAGATTTTAGTTTTTAATTTTTAGTTTTATCGAATTTCGGTAACCACATGATTTTAATTTATTTTAACCTAATTGTTGCAATAAACTTGAAAACGATAACATTTTTGAATAGAGAATGAAGAGACCTTTCAAACGATATATCATAAACATATACTTCCCATATAAAAAGTTGGGGTTGTACCTATCATTCGAAGGGGGTTGACGGTAGGGGTGGCATTTGTACGTAGAAGAATGTCAAATTATAATTTAAATTTGACGTGTTTCGGGATTTTGTTAAAATATGTACCGTAATCGAAATAATGAATTTATTCCATTTGGCTTTTAACACACTGTATAATACTAATTTTACATAACGGAAATTTCTATTGAAATTTTTGAGAAAATAAAAGTAGAAAATAGCATTTCAAAAGAAAAACTAAATTTTTTTGGAAAAAATTTTTTGGCTTCTTACTTCTTTATTATTATACAAAAATATGTGGGAAACTTTTCTGTTGTTCAGTAGCAGAGCTATGATTTATTCTACGCCAGAAGTTCCGGTTCTATCTTTCAATTGAACGACTCTAACGATTCTAAAGAAATTTCGGTTAAATCAGAAGAGATATTGGTTTCATCGTTGAAAATATCGGACTCGATGAAGTATAACTTTATTCCAAATATCAAATTTCTAATCTAACAAGCGATTGAACGGCGAAACCATTTCTCTTCCATCCGATACATCTAGAAGCTATACCCTTAACAGATGATAGCACGGCTATTAGCCCAAAGAAAAATGTTCTAGTACATAGGTTAATGCTAAAAGCCACCATATATTTCAAATCAGAAGCCGCTAACAATCTCTTTCAGTGACAACATAATCATCTTTCCGCTATAAAAAAAAGGAAGTATCTCTTACGCGTCGTTTGCCAGGACTCGAATATTGAAGTTCATCACGAACGAGGGTTGTAAAACCAAAATTTTTCTTCGACCACGAGTAATTCCTTTTTTACGTCGTCGTCTAATGGGAGAACGTTCTCGAACATTCCATGTATATTCAAGACTGTTTCAACTTTATACACACCGCCGTCAGGCCATGTCGTAAAAGTGGACGAAAAAGTGATTGCCTGTTTTCTTCGACAGAAATTATGCACGTACCCAGAGGAAACCGAATAAAGCTACGAAATTAAATGTAGGGTGCGGATGTGTACGACAAAGACTTTATTTTGTGCTGAAACTCCCAGAAGAGAGTTGATGTGGGAAAAGCTGGATGAATGGAGTTTTTTGCCGGTATGTAATGAAGTTCGAAAATGACACTGTTTACTCTTATAGGTGAATAATCTACAATGCTTGAAAAATAATTTGCAGTTTTTCGATATAATAATAGTTACTTTTTAACAATTCCTAGAAAATTTTTTGCTGGCCAAAAATTATTTGAAACAAATACGTGCAGACAAAATTTTGTGATACATTAAAAGTGTGATTATGAAATGCAAAGTATACAGTAATAACAGGAACTTTTCATGAATAGCACGATTATAAATTTGACTTCATCGTTCTTCATTCTTCAAGATGAAAAATAACCAAAAAATATGTAGGTGCGTGATTCCCATTATCTGTTAATCTAGATTCTAGAGGTATGCATGAGGTAGTTTTGGTTTTTTGCCACCTTTTTGTAAATTGCTTCACCACTGCAAAATTAGAATCACAGCAATCTACATAAAACTTGTTAATTTTAATACTTCATTCCATAATCATCTCCTCCATATCAAATGTATGTTTTTTACAAAAATGATGTTATCAAAATTTAGTCACATGTTTGTGTTCAACCCTTCATCTGTTTAAAAAACTGTTTAAAATCTGTTTTTCCGTTAATCAGCTGTCGCCTCCATACGAACGACAACTCTCAGAAGTTGAGAAACTTGTGCTAACGAGGTCTTACCTTTTAACGTGTGATCCTCAACACATGAAATAACTAATTTTGAAATGATAATTTCTTTTTAGAAGTTCTAATCGAGACTAATAAGTACAAAGTGTATTCGTATGTCATCAGTAAAGACTGCATTAATTGGAAAAATAATGTATATTCAACTTTCAGAAAAATGTATCTAATTTTATTAAAAAATTGTACTATTGTCAACTGAACTAGTTTATTAATATTGATGGGTGCTAGTTAGACAAAAACTACCATTTCAAAGTATAGATCAAAGTATAGATATTTCTTGAAGTTAACTTGAAGTTACCTATTTTGTTTTTCTAGTAGAGCTTACATTCAATATGGCCCAAACTAACAAGTTTTATGTAGGTTGCGTTGAATTTTCAACATTGATTGGATTTACAAAAAAATGTAAAGAAAACATAAATATCTTATGAAGTTACAATTTTTAATACGAATACAAAATACGAACGTTATATATAACTATTCTGATAATCAGAGGAAAAAATGTGTTTCATTTGCGACAAACCAGGAGATTTTATATATAATAACATTCAATTTTATATATTTTTTAAATTAATCAATGTGATTCGAAATACGTATACAAAATAGTTGCGTCAAGGTTGAGATATGGCATATGTATATGAGTGTATGGGGTAACTCTACACTAGCTTCAGATGTGTTTATTGTACAGAAAAGAAATATTCGTATAGTAGCAGGAGTTCCTAGTACATTTACCTGTAGTGATATATTTCGAAAATTTTGAACCTGCAGAAGAATTAGTTGATTGAGAATTGTTTTTATAATTTGCAAGAAATTTACGATTCGTAATATGTAAGTATTTTATTTTATTTTAATTTTGTTGTTGTTGTTTTGATAACAATGGTGTTGCTCACATTGTGAATTTTGTGTCATGACTTTATGTGTACTTTGACGAATCTAATACATGTTATCTGTGTCTAATGGAAAATTGGTAACAGGATCACTTTTTTTCTTAAAAAATCAAAGGAAAAAAACGACATGAAACAAACAAATTCGTATGTTTCATATCATTTTGTGTTGGTGTTGTCTCGGAAATTTGGTTGTTGCAATGTTGTTTTTTTTTTCATATGTTTGATGGTTTTTTAAATAGTAATATTATCAACACGAAGAACAACTTTTCGAGCCCTGAAGAAGAATTTAATTAAATTCAAAACGTCGACAAGAAAAAATTGATCCTGTTACATAACCAAACTCTCTTCAGAAAAATTATTGGACCACTAAACTAGTTAACTGAATAAATTTAAAATTTGAAGCGTATCACATTATTTCTTGTTCATTTTTCATCTCGATCGAAGCAGATTAGATGTCTTAAGTCTCATTGACTCAAATGAAAAGTGAATGCAAGTATGCAATTTTCTTGTAACTCTCAAATGAATTCGAAATTTCTGTTTTTAATTAGATACATCATAAATATTTCAAGCTTCGATTCTTTTTTGATTACAGTTACTTTTATTTGGTATCATAAACTTTTTCAATCCTAGTATTCCTTATGACATTTCCTAAAATTTCAAACACTTTTTCTGTATAACCTAAAACGAAAACGAAACTACATTCACAACTACCTGTACTTGCCCCCATCAATGGAATTTTTTTAGACCGCGGAAAAGAGAAGAAATATTGGAAAAAATCGTATCTTTTAAGTACATTTTGACCCCAATATTCATAGGAAAAAATAAGTCTTGATACAACCTCTAAAACAGACCCTGGTATATATTTATACTACAAAGATTTTTTCAGAATATAAATTATAAACAGCAACAACTTCTTCCTTCAATACCAGCTAATTTCATTAATTAGTATGGGTTATGATCTTTTGGAACGATTACTATCATAACAATTTCAGAATAATTGAATTTTAACTCATGAACCTTTACTCAACTAAATCGAATGGTAGTTCAAAAATACTTTGTCTGCACCAATAACCGCACCCTATTTTCGATTTCGACATGCGAAAACTTCGAAAAAAACTCACCTGATGACGTAGTTGACGCATACCACGCTTTGCGGTTTCTGCATCTTATCGTGGATCAAAGTGGCTTGAGTGACGACCCACACGTACCCTCCAGTTTTGGCCAAGAAACGGTATCGACCCGTTTCGCACTGGCCCTTGGAGAACACTGAAAAATAAATCAAAGGATAAGTGAGCGATAAATGTTGGAAAAAAGCTGGCAAATCTCACATTTCGGTTGCGATCAAAAGGACACGGAAGGGAAATAAATAATTCTTAGGGAGGTGTTATGAAGTGAAAGGAGAAATGAACTTTTTAGGAATTTTCATGAAAAATACAGCAATAATACTGAGAGTTGAATTCATACATAATATAATATTTGTTTGTAGTTCCCTATTACATATAAATACAATAATTACTCAATTATTATTCGTTCATGAACTCGGAAGGAGAATAGGCCAAGCAACAAAAGATCACCGTTCTACCTTTTTTGATAGACATAATTAGTATTGCTATTCAACGTGGCAATGCTACTTCAGTACTTGGAACTATTCCTCCTTCACATAATTTTGATGAGATCATGCATTGCCCTAATTTCAGTACGGAACTGAAACCTCTTCGAAACAAGCCGAGATATGTGGATATTCATCAGTCTCCTATCAAGGTTAATTCACAAGTGATTGATCCACCTTCTTCTTTTTCAGGTCAGTGGACTCAGGTCATTCTTGCCCCCCAAATATAAGTTGCAGTCCTCGTAGAACTGGTTCCCTTTCAGTGAAAGAGCTTCATGAAGCAAGAGCCGAATCGATCCCTCTACGAAACCCTTCTTCACTTGGAAAGATCGATCGCAGCTTGAGAAATGGTTCTTATGGAAATTCTGTGAAACATGTTCTTCCTTATGAATCAGTAGATAGTTGTCCTGAAAATCTAGAGAAGAAAATTGGATTGGATGATTTAGGAAACACTTGCTACATGAATAGCATTTTACAAGTGTTGTTCATGACGAAGAATTTCAAGAACGAAGTTTTAATGATGAACGAGAACGGGAATGTNTTATGTAATTACTCTTCTACCGCTTGAGGTTAATAACAGAGATATCATGCACTGTAGTACATGATACCAAAGAATCTCCGGCGATTTCCCAAATGTATATCTACCCTGTTACTAATTGTATTGTATGTGTGGGAAATAAAGACCTATTATTATTATTATTATTATATTTCCTAATACCATATACATACCTAAGACATTATTTTTGAACTCTTTCAATTCTACAAATGTCTTTTTTATCCAGGCATAAACCGTACACAACATCACAATATGCAAAATGACTCAACACAAGTACATTTGTTAATTTTATTCTCAAACTTATTGATAATAAGTGACTATGAGGATAAAGCATTTTCAAACTCAAGTAACTTCTCTGAACACATTCTGTGACATGTTTTGTAAACCTTGTCCATTCACGTCCATACCTAAATTTTTTGCCACGTTCCTGTGGCATATTACTGTATCACCTATAACAATATTGATATATCTTTCCACCAAGCTACGATTAGTACCAAAAACAAGCAGATTTGTTTTGTCTGAATTGATTTTGAGGTTATGAGCTTCAGATGCTGAAATAGGACGAGCTAGATCTTCATTCAATTTTCGATTAGCAGTAGCAACGTCATTATGGTTAAATGATAGATATGGTCATCCGCATACATATGTGAATTACAATGTCTCAAAACAGAAACTAGATAAAAAAATGTATACGCAAAATAATAAGGGTCCAAGTATAGATCCCTGAGGCACTCCAAATTTAATGAATTCATTGCTTGATTTTTCCTTCGAAGTTTCTACAAACTGTGAACGATCTAGATAGTGTTGAAGAACGCACTGTTCGACGTTGGTTTGCGGAATTTCATTCCGGAGATTTTAGCCTCGAAGATGAGCCCCGAAGTGGTCGACCTACAGTGATCCAGGACAAGGATTTGGGGCCCTGGTGGGCACTGACCCATCACAAACGGTGCGTGGGGTTGAGAAATAAGTGGACGTCACTCCCATACGGTTTTTGGTGGTTAAAACGTATTGGGAAGGTCAAAGAGCTCGGAAAGTGGGTGTCCCACGATTTGGACGATCGACAGAAATTGTCACGTTTCGAGATCTGTTTTTCTTTGCTTTTGTGCAACCAAAACGATCCTCTTTGGGTCGGATCGTCATGTGCCGTAGTGTCAAATCGTAGTGAACGACTTTGTCGTTACTTGATACGATCAGGGATCTAAACCAAACCTGGAATTCCGACATAAAATAACAAACAATCAGCAATTGTTTCAGGAAGTCAGGTTTTGCTCAAGTGTTGGGAATCACATGTTAAAAGGTAAAACCTCTTAAACAAACATACATACGTATACCAAATATAAAATGTTTGTACTTATATGTGTCAATGAGCCGTTATTATTATATACATACGTGTCGAAACGATTACTAGGTAAAAAAATACAGTACAGAGGAACCAAATTCTTGGCATGAGCCAGAATCGGCAGTTTCTTTTTACCTCATAACAGAAAACTTGTCCGTGACTCACATTTCAGGAATCGGATCAAAATTCTAGAATACCAGTAACAAATGTGGGACAGGTTGCCGCCATGACTCGAATCAAAACTATTTTTTACGCTTTCCAAGAAATCGCGAACAAGCTAACAACAAATATTTATATTTCCTGTCTACCGACTAACTGATACGTGATATTCTTCACATTTTACGATTGTCACAGCTTACTAAAACTGTCAAAAACGTTTCACAGAAATTGTTATGTCTGAAATGGTTACAGCGATAAATCGTACGTTATTCGTGGGGGTCATTCTTCATCAAACGCAATGAAAATCGTAAAGAAATACCTATACGAAATCATAAAAAAAGTGTGTGAGTGCTTAATGCGAATATTAGGCGTATAAAATAAAATCAGTCATGACGCGTTAATTTTCAGTTTCCCAGCGTGAAATATATCAAATGTGGAATCCATCAACACCGGAAATTTCAAAGAGTAAGTCCAATATTTAGTTGATTGAATCATTCGGATCGAAACTTTGTATATAAATGTACTGAAAATCAGAAAGGGAAACCTCGAGAGAAACGAATTAAGGCAATGAATGAAGAATTGAATCTAATAAAATATTTTACATAATAAAATGCTTTGATTTGTATGAAGTACTGATAACAAACCATATTTATCTTCCAAATTGCAACAAAGGATAGAAGAGATTTGTGAAAATATATTGATTAAGAACATTATTACAGTGCCACCATTTTTATTCGGTTTTCAAGGCCGCCGATTTCTGGAATGCCTTTCTGGCATTTCTCGGAACATCTTGAGTTTTTCTCTCCGATGACTGGGTATTACGATTGCGTAAAGCGTATTTATGTTGAATCGGGTACAGCTTGTCAAATCTAGGAAGAGAAATCTTTCTCTTTCTCACTCTCACTGTCTTCTAATGAACGCAGATCTAGTGAGTGAAATTCAGAAAGCTCTTCCTATATTTGACAGGCTGTAGTCTGTGGTGTTATTATCTGTACCTGAATTAGGTAAATTGTCAATAACGTTTGTTGATCCTGCCGTCATGATGTTGGTTATTCTTGAACTTCTTAGAATGGGATTCCATATTCAGTTGAGGTTCGCGGTTTTTTTCTTTCTGTTATTCGTGTATTTGTGGATCTAGATTGCCTCCCGTACCAGTCGGCTATGGGGAGTTTCGAGTTTTCAAACAGAATCCTGTGGTTTTCTTCACTGGATGCGTGTTCCGCCACAGCCGACTTGTTCGTTTGGCCAAGTCTACTTTCTTTCATGCTGCTTTTCAGCCTTGTGCCTGTATATTTTTTGGTGGTTCCGATGTATACCTTCCCACAAGTGCACGGTATGCGACAGACCCCTGCTGCCCTGCTTTTGTCTTTAGTCGACTTAATGCTTGGATGTAGCTTCTTGGTGGGTTTGAAAACACTGTCAATGTTGTGTTCCCCCATGAGTTTTCCAATTATGTCTGTGACCCTGAGGATATATGGCAAACACGTATGTGCAAGGTCACTTGACCTTGAGATCGAATCGATACAGTGTATCCGAGATCAACAAAGCCATGAAAGTGAAGAGCTCCACGGTTCAAAACGGGGAGGAGCCTCAGATGGTTGTACATGTCTATCTGCCATATATCCATAGGGTTACAGACAGAATAAAACGGTTTTCAAACCCAACAAGAAGTAACAACAAAGGCTCGGTTCGACTAAAGACATAAGGGATCCACTATCAGCAGCAGGGGTTTATCGCGTAGCGTGCACTTGTGGGAAGATATTCAGCGGAACCACCAAAAGATACATGGAAACAAGGCTGAAGGAACTGCAGTCTAGACCAAACGGACATGTCGGCTGTAGCTACAGACCATTATGCAAATTTTCTCACTGATGAAATTCCTGCAGAAGTTTCTCGTTTTTCCAGCAAGGAAATAAAGATTTTTCAACTAGTAGTACCTCCACTTCGACAAGAACAAAGCTCAAAACTGGAAAGAAGCACCCCATGTAGCAACGATCTAATAGGTGCACTCTATTAAGGTTCGCTTCTTTCTCTCTGTTTTCTAGTAATTTGGTTTTTTTGGTTCAATGCAAGAAAACGCACTTCGCCGCCTAAATTAATGTATTCAGTATGTAAGCAGCTTCTTTGAATAGTGTATCGTCTTTCAGATGATACAATAGAGCCTCCTTCTTGTTTTCGGGATCGTCAGAGAATTTTTCACGGGAAGTTGGCCCAATCGTATGATATCCGGTAAACACAATAATTCTTAAACTCGTTTTTTAACGTTTGGTGGGTTATTTTTGTGAGGCAGTTACGGATTGTATTTAGATCCAATTCTTTTCATCTTCTGCAACAGGCGACACAGTTCTTGGTGGAGACGTTATTTGGTGTTGAAGAAATTGAAATGCACCATCAATTGAGATCTTATTTTGAGGTTCTTACGGACCGTGTACCTGTATATGAACCCGGCTCTAATGCTGTAGTTAGATCCAATTCTTTTTATCCTCTCCATCAGGATTAAGGGATAATACCAGTTGTAGGAAGCGTCTTGATGCGACACCGTTGTTGGTGGAGACGTTATTAGGTGCTGAACCGGTTGAATTGATAATTCAAATAATATCCTA